AAATAAGACTCAATTCGAGGGACAAGCAGATTTTACCAGACACCTTCAGAGAGTGACGGCGGACACAGCTTCAAGGTTGTTGGTTGTCTGTTGCAGTTTGGGTTAAAGGATGAGCCCATTATATTTCCTTGGGCTGTGGCCTGACAAACCAAAGTACACACGTGTATCAGGAAAAGAAACCCTCTATGTCCAGGTACCAAGACCCAGGCTCCCTCCTGGGTGTCTTCCGCCTCTACGCTGGGGTTACCTTCTCAAAACCTCTCTGCAGACAGTCCCACCATATCTGGTCCCATCTTCCTCCCAGCCATCCCCAGCACTCCGCTGTCTCCTTTCCTGAAAACTCACCCTGGGGTTGTTCAGGCTTCCCCCTCCATGCCGTCTCCCTCTGCCACCTGGAGCCCTTGCCCAGAGTGATGAACAAACACTTTCCAGGGTCTACTGCCTCCTCACCTGGATGGACTCTGCTCTGTTCTGTCGGTGGAGATGCTCTGTTCTTCCAAAGCCCACCGAGAGGGGACTAGAGTGGTGAGTGGGAGACGGGCACCCTCTTGGCTACAAGCAGATTCCAGGCTCCTCCCTGTGAGGCCTCGCCTCCGTGTCATCCAGCCCCGATTCTCACCGCCCCTCTACTGCAGGGACGCGGCTCCACAGCCTCTCTGTCCCTCGCAGGCTCACATGTCTCGTGTCCCACGTTGATGCTTCAACCCCTGAGTGAGTGTCAGGAACTCACACCAGCACAGTGATCCGTGGTCTCCGGCCCCGCGAGCGCTCAGGGCCTCTGGGCGGTCACGCACTGGTGTCCGCCCCCTCCCTGCATTGTCACGCTGTTTCAAACGTTTATGTCCTTCCCCAGACACTACACTCCTTGCCTGCTTCCCATTTCTCTCGGAAGCTCCTACCACCAAAGTCACAGAGAAAACCAGACAGCGAGTGTCACCTCTCCGCACCCCACCTGGCAGACTTGAGCTCTTTGGCACACATTGTATTGACAACGAGCAGGACCCTGTGGGGCCCTCCCAGGTACAAAAGCCCTTCCTGCTCCCCATTTCTTGCTTGTAGGAAAAAGGTTTCAGCCTCCTAGACCTTCCCTGGGTTCCAAAGGGCAGATTCAAACAGTCCCTAACTAGGGCAGGGACGGGGTGCAGACGAAAGGCAGTCAAGGAACACTCGTGCGGGGACGGGCAGGGTCCTGGTCCCTCCCGAAGGGGTGTACAGAGCCACCTGATACAGGTCTCTGAGTTCTTCGACGGGAACTAAGACCCAGCCAGGTGGAGGGTGGAAACTTCAGGCTGAGCACAAGCACGCGGACCCCAGGCCGCTAGAAACCAGAAGGCTGGCCTCACCAGCAGCCGGTCAGAGGAAGGTCACACACCCCAGACCTCCCCCCAGATTTTGCCTATAAAAACTGCTGCCCCGAAACCACTGGACGGTTAAAGTGTTTTAAGCACCAGCTACCCGGACTCTGCACTTTCCTTCACCACTAGCCGGGGTCAGCAGCTTGGATTCACCGCATCTGGGCGAGGGGACCGAGCTTGGTTTGGTAACTAACATGACACCGCAAATACTTCTTCCTCACCAGGCTTCCCCCGAGGCCCGCGGGTGCCTGGCGGGCAGAGGGTGCACGCACACACACACCGTATTTTTCAAATGCGCTTTATCCTCCGTTCCTAGTGTCCGGTGCGGGACTGGATGCGCGCTTGTTAACAGGTCTCAGCCGGAAGTCATTTCTCAGATGTCACCTTTCTTAGAAGGAGATAATGAGAAATAAGCCACTTTGTGCTGCCCGTGCTTCCTTCACAAACATTTCTAGAGCACCTGCTGCGTGTCAGGCCCCGCACCTAGTCCTGGGGACGCTGAAATGGTTAGGACTCGTCAAATGAAATAAAGGGGTCAGCCAAATGCAGTGTCTCCATAATCTCTCATGGAAACGTGTTTCCCGGGTTGATGGCTGGACTTAAGGGGACTTGACGTCGTTCAGAATGAATTCAGAGAAGAGCCACTCTTGAATTTCTTCAGTGAAGCATTGTCTTTCCGAGCCTCGTGGGCCCACCAGGCAGACGGGGATCATCAAAGGGGCCTCGCTGGTCCCCTCAATGCCCAGTGGACGGATGGCGGCTGGGCCCATTGGTCACAGCTTAGAGAGAGTGAGACACAGAAGGGGACACCTGTGGTGGGACAGTTCCCCGTCACAGTACAGGGAACTCCTCTTATCAAAGTGAGACCTCCTGGAGAGCCCCTGAAGTGGACACGGAGGTGTGTCTCAGAGGCCTTCTGCACCTTTCAGAAGGCTCGGCCTCCTTACCCTGAACAATTAGGAATCACCCACGCACGGCTCAGAGGGCAGAGAAGTGCCGGGGACCCGAGAACGGCCAGTGCCCCGGGGGCATTGAGAGGTCGCCACACCTGGGAATCACTCTTGCCAGCAGAAAGCCAGAGAAGATAATTAGCTCTAGGACCTGGAGGAACTAGGGGCAAGGGTCCAGGCCACCTCTTATGGTTAATTTTTTCCACTTAGTTGTCATATGATCAGAGTCTCACATGCCCACAGTCTGAAAGGACCGACCATTCGCTCTACAGGAGACAGCGGGGTTCCCGTCCCTGCTCGCTGCCCCCATTTCCTGTTTCCCAGGGCAGCCTCCTTCGTCAGTGCCCGCTGATTATTTCAGTCCCCACCTCCACATTTGAGATCACTGTCTGCTCCGGGCCTCCCGCCCCAGGGTTGACAGCACCTCTCTTCCACGGTGGTTGAGGACTTTGATCCATTCCACGTCTTCGAAGCCACGGCACACACGTGCGGGGTCCTGCCCTCCGCCTTCCCAGCTGGGTGACACAGTAACTGTAGTGAGACCAGTGGCTGGGTCTGCATCAGTGTAAGTCTGTGCACGCAGCTCCCGTCCCTGCCGCGCGGTCCAGCCAGCGGTGGCGGGTTCCCAGAGGGCGTGCTTTCCACGGCCCTGGTGTTGGGTCTACACTGAGCATCAAGCAATCCAGTTCAAAGAGTGCAAAGGTAGCAGGTGAAGCCGTCATGCCTGCTGTCTGCCCGACTTCACTGTCACATTCACGGAACTAGATTCCAAGTGTGCCGAGCTGTTCTTTCACATCGCGGACTTGAGAGAACCAGGAAGCTGTAAATCCCCCGCTGGCTTGAAGGAGCCCCAGACCTCTTGCCTCAGGTTTCCCGTGTTCACCTAAGCAGGTCAATAGAGAAGTAATCGAGACACCTGTAGGAAAGACATTTCGTAATTTTCCTTTAAAAAGCTATAGGGAGTTTTTAAAAACCAGCTTTATGGGCATATCGTTTATATAACATAAAACACCAACTGTAAGTGTACAGTGCAGTGAGCCTTGTGACGGCTGTATACGATCGTGTAATCACAGCTGCATTCATGACGTAGAGCATTTCCGTCCCCAGAAAGCCCCTTGGTGGCCACCCTCTCCCCGCGTCTCCCAGCCTCCACCCCTGGGCGGCCCCTGACCTGCTTTATGTCACTGAAGTTTTGCCTTTTCTAGATAAACTGAATCATACAATTATTCAGTCCAGCTTCTTTTACTTAGTGTGACATTTCCCTGTGTCCGAAGTGCGTTCCTTTTTACCTCCGGGCGGCCCTCCCCTGGAGGCATAAACCGCAGTCTGTTTTTCCACTCACCAGTCAATAGACACTTGAGCTTTTTTGCAGTTTCTAGCGCTGATGAATAAAGCTGCTACAAACACTTGAGTAAAATTCACTCTGTGTTCATACGCTTTCATTCCTCCTGGATAAATACTTGGAGGCAGAATTGCTGGGTCGTATGTCAAGTGTCTGTGAAACTTTCTAAGGAGCTACAGGACTGCAAAGCTTGCATGGAGGACACACGGAGCTATTCACATTAAAATTCATTTTCCAATTTATTTTTTTGAAGTACCATCGGTTACCATGTGTCAGCTTCTGGTGTGCAGAACCATGTCCCAGTCATGCACATACATACATGTATTCATTTTCATGTTTTTTTCATTGAAGGTTATTACAAGATATTGAACATAGTTCCTTGTGCTATATAGAAGAAACTTCGAGCTATTCACATTTAAATTGATTAAAATAAAATAAAATGTGAAAGTCAGGTCCTCGGTTGCGGAAGCCACATCACAGGCGCTCAGTAGCCAGATGTGACTCGTGGCTACCGTGCAGGCTAACCCGGTATGGCACTTCTCTGTCATCCCAGAAAGTCCTACTGGACAGCACTGCTATAGAATTGATAACCTTGTGTTTCAGGATAGAAACTTTTCATTGGTTTGGATGAAAGGTGTTTTTTTAAAGCTGTGAGTTACCTGTCTCACTGTTGTTTATGTAAACGCTAACATCCTTGCCAACTCTAGTTAAGAGAGGAACCCTCCCATCCTGCATTCACTTTGTAGAACTGATGTTCGGAGCCGCCCAAGGACTAGACTGTCGGACAGCCTGGAGTCGTTATTGTTCATGCGGGAGCAGCTGGCTGTCCGTGTGGAGAAGCCACCCACGGGCACCCACTGCCCCCCCAGCCTCGGCAAAGCCCTTGGAACTGCGGGGGACCTCTGCTCATAGCTGGGAAACACCAGGGGCCCCAGGACAGGTAAGGCAATAAGCTGGTGGGATCACAGTCTCAGAAATAAGTTTATACGTTGCTTCTCGGAGGCTGTCTTCACTCATCACCTTTTGAAAAAAGAGCATGAAGCCCAGCTGATACAGTGTGGGGCGCCGGCCGGCCTTGAAACTCTAAGTGTCAAGTTCCAGCAGCCTTAAAGATCCTTGGATTTCACGAATTGAATTTTTTTCTGACCGTAGCCCAAATGGTTTAGTTTCACCTTGGCTGTTCCCTATGAGGTGCCGATTTCCTGGCAGCTGGGACTAATGGCGAGGAATCTGGCCCTGGGACAATCAGGGGCACTGAGCGCGGGCATGGCTCCATTCCCCGTGGGTGGTCTTTCTCAGGGACGGGAAGGCACATCACATAAGAAGGGGCTTTTGTTACCTCTGGGGCAATGTTGCCTTTTGTGAAAGAGAGTATTTTAACCACAGACTTAAACAAGGCTGGCAAAACAATAGGCCCTCTTGTGGTTTTGGCCATTAATCTTCTTTTATGTAGGGGGACAAAAATCAGATGCTTCAGCGACGTCATCATTTGGCTCAGAAGAGAGCCAATGGAACCAAAGGACACCGTTGTTTCCCCGACCCAGCGGTTGACAAGGAAGCTGAACTGCTTTTTCTTTTGCTGAGAGAAGAGGGCACGTCTGCAGCAGACTGCCCATAAACATGGCCGGACTCTTCACACTGAAAGAATTTGCCGGAAGGGCTTTGTGCAAGAGAGCCAACATTTCCAAAGAGGCTCTCCCATCTGTCATCTGCTTTCTTTGCATTCTGAAATTTAAAAAAGCTCTCTTTCTTTTTTTCAATGGTAAGGCTGGTGAAATGGGTCTCCCCCACCCCGGGCTTCACTCCATTGATCCCTTTTCTCTTCACCTTTGGTGGAAAAAGTCATTTAGGGCAATAAAACAATAAAGTTCTCTTATGAGGGGCGAGAGGCTACCATACAGGCTAACCCGGCGTGGAACTTCTCTGTCATCCCAGAAAATCCTACTGGACAGCACTGCTATAGAATTGATAACCTTGTGTTTCAGGATAGAAACTTTTCATTGGTTTGGATGAAAGGCATTTTTCCCTTCACTAGCGAAGGGAAGACGCTCTGAAGGAAGAAACAGAAGGGCGTGATGAGCTCGTCCTCGGCGGGGACCAGGGGGCTCACTCTGGGAAACTGGAACCTCTGTAACCTGTGAGAGGCTCCCTGCTGGGCAGGAGAAGACAGACAGGACAGACCAGACAGAGAGGGGGCCCCGGGCACCCATCACGACTGAACTCCATTCGCCAAAAACTACCTAATGGCAAAATGCAGTTCCCAAAAGGCCTGATGGTGTAAGCATGTGTGCTCAGCTCTGCGTGCTTCTGCAAAGAGTGTGGGCCACCCCAGCTGGGCTACACAATAGACTTTCAGTGGATCCAGTGCCAAAATGGCCCCAGTTTTCTACTCCTTCCCACGCTCGCGCCCTTCCGCGATGTGACTTGGCACTCTTTACGTCGACAGTCGGAGTCTATTTTCCGCATCCCATGAATGCAGACTGGTCCATGACTTGCTTGAGCCAATAAATGCAGTGGAAGCATCTGAACCTTGGCTTCAAGAGACTTTGTGCTCCTCTGCTCTCTTACTTGAGCCCTGCCTCCACCGGGAAAACAAGCCCAGGCTCTAGCCAGCTGGAGGATGACAGACCACGCGGAACAGTGCTGCATCTTCTTAGCCAAGACCATCCTGGACCACCTCGCCTCCCGCCAGCTCACAGATGTACGCACAAGCCCAGCTGAGCCTGGGCGGGCAAACTACCAGTTTGCAGGAAGTAATAATATATGATCGGTTTTTTTAAGCCACTAAGTTTTGGGGTGGTTTGTTACACAGCAATGATGTAGCTGGTAACTTTAGAACCCAAGAGTCACTGAGGGCAAAGAGATGACAGATGGCATTAAAATCATAATAAAACCCAAACAACAAGCAGCATGAGCTGCAGATTCGAAGGAGAGCCCTGCAGCGTGCTCTTCTCCCAGCTGGCAGGGACCTCAAGGCATCCTTATCCAGCTTCCTCTGGAGAGCCTTCTCTACATCCCGCAGCTCAGGCAGTTCCCAACTCAAAGGCCAGCACAGCACTCACGGCCCAGCCCCACTTGGAAGTGAGGCATCTCCTGGTTCCCAATGCCGTGTGGCCTGTCCTCGGCAAACCGGATCACCTGCACTGGATGGATTAGAGTGCACCGTAAGAACAGTACCTATTTATAGAAAATTATTGAAAGCTACCACTTAGAGAGGAGAGCTGCTTACAGTTTGGTGACCGCCCTTTAAACTCGGTCTTGCAGAAACACACGCATACTGCTTTCATAAATGGGCTTCTACAATTCAAATTTATGCTTATTGCTTTTCTGAAAATGCTCGTTGTAGACAATTCAAACAACAGGGAGTGACTAAAGTCAAATAGGAAAGTCCTCCCTTCCCCTGTAGCTGCAGACGACAGGCTGGCGCATTTCTTCCAGAACATCGTGCTCTTTGTAAGCTTGCTTTATGGTCTGTGCTCTAAAACACAAATTTGTTTTCCGGCTACATCCATTTCATGATCCAATTCTTCCCCTGAGGCTCCTGTTTAAATATTACTACCTTTTGCTGTTTTATTGTTTTTAATTCCCCAGAACTGTCTGCGACCGTCTAATTGATCATTTTCATAGCAGCCTGTTCTTGTTTCTTGAATGTAGTGTTGATTCTCAGAGGGTATTAATTAGGCTTTTAAAGGACTTCTTTCTCTTTCTTGTCTTAACCATGTTTCTTTTTTTTAATCTTTGGTTTTTTTATTGAAGTGTAGTTGATTTACAATGTTAGTTTCATGTGTATAGTAATTCAGTTATACATATACATACGTATATATTTTTTCAGATTCTTTTCCATTACAGCTTCATTACAAGATATTGAAAAAAAGTTCCCTGTGCTATACAGTAGGTACTTGTTTTTCATTTATTTTATATATAATAATGTGTATCTATTAATCCCAAACTCCTAATTTATCCCTCCTCCACCTTTCCCTGCTGGTAACCACAGTCTTTTTCTATGTCTGTGAGTCTATTTCTGGTTTGTAAATAAATTTTGTGGGTTTTTTTAGATTTCACATATAAGTGACATCATATGATATTTGTCTTTCTCTGTCTGACTTATTTCACTTAATATAATCCATGTTGCTGCAAATGGCATGATTTCATTCTTTTTTATGACTGAGTAGTATTCCATTGTACCTTGTTTCTTGCAAGTCATTCTCAATGCTTACCACTTACAGACACTTGATTTTCCTCCAAAGTCTTATAACTCCTGTCTGTGGTTTCATAGCTATCAATGAAGATCTAGATTTATCAGTATCAACAGCTGTTGTGAGCACCCCTTGTAAATGAGAAGTCACTGTTTCAATTCTCCTGTCATAAATGTTCCTGAAAGGCAGAGCCTGGCTGCAGGGTTTGATGGTGGCTTGCCTATGGCTGCAAGGAGGTGAATATTGGCCAGTATGGAGGGGGGTCTTTCTGTCATTTACATGGATGGGGTATTGGTTAGTGGACTGCGGATTCTCTTCGGTGCAGGAAGAGAGATGGCAGTTAGCCTGGGAGCAGGGTGTGTGAGTGTGTGTCAGAGT